GCAAAGCATCAAGGACGTAGGTGATTCCTTCTGCCAGCTGAAGGAGATGATGTCTTGGGGATTGCTGCAAGGTGCTGAAGAGTTCTTTTAAATCTGGGCTCTCAGTTTTCAGCTCATAACCATCATTTTCCTCAAGAACTTCTTCCATCTGTGGGGAACAAGGTGAAGAAATGTCAGGATTTGAGGGCAGAGGCTGCTGCCTGTCCTGAGCAGGGAGCTGTGCTGAGAGAGGGAATTTTGGATGGGCAGTTGTGGCCCAGGGCAGGTGACTTGTGGGACAGGAGGAGTGGTGTGGATGTGTCTGTGTTTATAAATTGTGTCAGTAAAAGCTTCACTTACTTTCTGGCTGAGCTCTTGAAGGAGTTTCTCATCTCTCATCACAGCTTTGATGGTGTTTAAGATGATGAGCAGCAGGTCTGGAGACAACTCGGGGAAAATTCGGCAGGAATATCGAACTTCTGTCCTCACTTCTCCTAATTTTCCTGCTGAGGGACCTGCAAACCAGAATGAGTCCAAATCTGTCACTTGAGTTCTAGGAGCTCAGTGGCAGCTCTAAACCCAGAGTTTGAAACACTCATTTGAGATCGAATTGGGGCAATTGTGGTGTCTCAGGGAAGATGCAAATCCATCTCTCCTGGTTGTTTGCTTTATGCTGGGAAATTCCATCTTACCCAAAGCAGCCAAAAGTTGTGAGAGTGGAAGCAGTAAAATACATTCCTTACCATCAGCTATATAAGCTTGGCTTCTCACAGCTTCTGCTGGGAAGTAATCCAGATCTAAAAGAGGACAAAACAACACTTTTCTATACCAGCCTTCCCAGTGGTGGTCACCCCCTCAGCTTCCTCCCTGGCCCTTCTCTTCTGAGTAGGAAAGGAAAAGAAACACCAAAACTCTGCTCTCTGTGCCATTTATCATAAGGAGCTCTGCACCTCCTGAAACGTGGATCTGAGCCTTCCTTCCTTCTTTCCTTTCTTTACTGTCCCCTCTCCAAAGAGCATCTTTGAACTTGTATGGTTATCTGACCTCCCCCAGGTGATTTCTGTCTCTCACACTGCCTCCTCCTGTCTGCAGACAAGCTGAAGGTAGCTCTGAGGGCAAGAGGTGCTTCATAAAATGTTCTTCCTCTTCTGGAATGGAGAACTTGGTCATTTCTGGAAGTTGCTTACCCCATTTTCCATCTCTAATGTGCAGTGGGATGGTCCTGAAGGCCAGAGTGCAGCCCTTGGGTATCACTATGCTTTGTTTGTCCTCCCTGTTGCTCTGCAGAAAGAAAACAGCCTGTCAGAACAGCTGGGTGCAGGTGTTGGGAAGCAAGGAGGGAGAAGCCAAACCTGTGCACAGAGTGAAGCATAAAATTTGGCCTTGAAGCCCCCGTCTGCCTTGGTGGATTCCATGTACACGGCCTCCTCTGAGGCCTCGAGGGTTTCAGTGACCACGTACAGCCTGATGTCAGTTCTCTGGAGCTGTCGGATGAAGGAGTGATCCATGTTGATTTCCCTAAAAGAGGAAAAGGATGGGAAGGGTTTGGAGCACCAGGAACAGCTGAGGCATCTGGGAGGGATAAACCTGTATGGGGGAACTTGTCACTCATTTCCTGTCTAACCTGGCCTAATTAGAGGAAGTTCATGTCCTAAGGTTTTAATCTTGGGTTTTGGCTGTGAAAACTCATTGTTGACCTGGAGGGAGATGACTGGAACATGTCTGATCCCTTTCTCATTCCTTACCTTTCTTTTCTCAGTGCCTCCAGGTATTGCTGTGATATGCTCTTCTTCTGTGGCGTAATGGAAAACTCTTTGGACAAGGAGGCACCTCCTTTCAGCTCCACATTTGTAGGGTCAAATGAAATGCTGAGACCTCCATCAGCTTGGTCAGCACTGACTTTTGTGAGAGTGCATTGGCTGGACTCTTGATGGAGGGACTCTGAAACAATTCCATGGATTATCTTAAACAGCACTACAAGGACTCAGCACTGTAAGTATATAATACACAACAAAGCTGGAAATTGGTACAGTTCAGCCACAAAGAGTTCAAAAATAATTTCTGTGATATTTGATAAATTCATATTGATAAATTTGGGTTTTACCTATGCTTTTGCCATCTTCTCCAGGCAGCAGCACATCATCCAGTGTGAAGCCTGTTCTCTGGTAGTAGGGAGCTCGATGAAATACAGTTTTTGGTTTGCTTTTTTTTTTCAGTAGATAGAGAGGCCTGAAGTGCTCATTGTCTGCGATGCTTTCAACAGGAACCAGTCCTTTGCACGGATCCATTTGATTTACAATGAATTTGGTGAGTTTTTTAAACATTCTGGCTGTGGCTGAGGTTTTGAAGCAAAGGGGATTTGTGCCTTGGGAAAGAGGGAACACAAGCTAAGCTGAATTACTTGAAATAATAGGAGGACATTGTAACAAAGTGTGACTCAATGATTGAGAAGATTTCAAAATAATGCCTCAAAATCCCCCTCACTGTCCAAGGACACAAGTTTCACAGAGTTGTTTCAGGGAGTCTTTTAAGAGGAAGCAGCAGGAGCTGTGGGTTGTTTGGCCTTGTCCCCCTTTGCTATTGAGCCTCAGTGATTGTGCAGAGAGAGCACAGCTGGCAGACCCTCAGGATGCTGATTTTGGAGACAAACGTCCCCAAAAACAGAGAGACACCTACCCAGCCCAGCCTCATTGGGCAGGCCCTGGTAGTCTGCAAGGGAGAGCTGGTGTTTGAGAGCCAGAAGTAAATCCCTGTCTGTTTTCTCAGACAGCTTGTTTTTATCAGTGTCAACTTTCTGCTGTTTTATGGGAAGAAGGTGGGGAGGGAAAACTGGGCAATCAAGCCTGATATTGATGGGAAGGGACCTTAAGGTTCCTCCCATTCCCCCCCCTGCCATGGCCAGGTACACATTCCACTTTCCCAGGCTGCTCCAAGCCCTGTCCAACCTGGTTAGAAACACTTCCATGGATGGGGCAGCCACAGCTTATCTGGGCATCCTGTTCTGGGGCCTCAGCATCCTCAGAGGGATTTCTTCCCAATATCCCATCTAATGCTACCCTGTTTCAATTTAAACCATTCCAAAGACAAATAGCCTTGTATGCTCAAGGTTAGTAGTCCTTGCAGGTCTCATTCCCTTGAAGGTCTCCAAGAAGAGAAGAAAAACTAAACAAGAGCACTTAACAGAGAGCTCCCACCAACCCTCTCCCCTTCCCAAAGCTCTGGGATAATGCACTTACCTGTTTGTGGGGTGGGGGGTGTGCAGAGCAGACCCTGGGGTGCTGAGGTGATGTGGCCTCTGGAGAGCAGCAGGACTGGGGAGAAAATCTCTGGCTTCCCTTCTGCTCAGAGGTGTGGAAGTGTTTGTGAGGTACAGGAGCCGTGAGTCGCACAGGAAGCTCGCGCCACCACAACGCCAGAGCAAAGAGTAAACTGATTTCTCTTACCTTGCAAACAGGGGTTCCCTGAAGCAGCACCTGGGCAGGAGCAGTGTTAGACCCAATCTAACAGTGTTAGACCCAATCTGTGCTGGAAGAACACTGGCATTCCCCAGCAGTTTATCAGGAGCTGTTCCCAGCTGTGACGTCACTTCAGCAATTTTACATCCTCACCACCCGTGTTCCGCTTCCACAAATCCGCCGTTGCTTACGCAACACTTCCTTTTTACTCATTGAGCACAGTCTGTTACAGGAGTTACTGGAACTTCTGCAGGTGTAGGAGATGTAAATCCAGTGCTGGAAATGTCCCAGACCAGATTGGGCAGGAATGTGCCCTGCCCCTGGCAGCAGGTGGGACTGGGTGGCTTTAAAGTCCCTTCAGACAAAGCCATTCCATCCTTGTGTATTCAGCTTTATAGAGGCATGTAACACTGCTGTTCTTTGACAGATGGAGAAATGGACTCAGGAGGAGATATTGACAAGAAATTCCTCTCTGTGAGGGTGATGTGGCCCCAGAACAGGTTTCCCAGAGAAGCTGAGGCTGCCCCATCCCTGGGAGTGTCCCAGGCCAGGTTGGATGTGGCTTGGAGTAGCCTGGGCTGGTGGAAGATGTCCCTGCCATGGCAGGGGGTGGGAATGGCCCTGGAGCATTAAGGTGCCTTCAAACCCGAGCCATTCCATGTCTCCTGGGTACATTGCCATGCTTGTTTGACAGCAAAAGCCATCCATGTGAAGATTCCAGGACTCAAGCACAAGTTTTTTACCTGAATACTTCATTTTTATTAGTCTCTCTTAGAATACTGTACAAAGGAGTAATAAAAGTATTCACACTTTATTTTAGAAAGTTCTCTACATGAGACTGCTGTGTCCACATCAAGGGCCCTTATTTCTGGTACAGCCTCAATCCTGAGGTTGTCAGGTGTGCCATGGGACAGAAAAGACACCAAATTAAGAAACAGCCTTTGAGACCACCAAATTGCTTAGCAAGAAGCTGCACTTTATTTATAAAGCAATAATGGGAATATTTATGGCATCTCTCTGAAGTGCTGCCCAAGTCTCTTGAGCATCTTGGAGAGATGGGAATGGAGAGGTGTCAGTGAAACCTTTGGGATTTCCCCATCTTCCTACAACCAGTAGTTAATGGAGTCCCCACTGAACCAGAGAGGGACCAGGGTGCATCACTGCTGATGTTTTCCTTTGGCTTTTGTTTTCTTTTCATTTCCTTCCTTTTCCTTTGCATTTCATTTTTGCCTTTGCATGTTCCTGCCCATCTCCCCTTCCCCTTCCCCTTTCCATCCTCTTTCCATTCCCTTTGCCCTTCCCTTTCCCATTTGCAGATTGCAGAAGCAGCAGCAGCATTTTGAGGGAAGCAGGATTACATGAATCATTGGTGCCAGGCCTGTGGTTGTTTGGGCTTGTGGATTTTCCTGTTTTCCCTCAGTATTTTTGGGGAGACAGACAGACAAATCCACTTTGATATCCAGCCTTTAGCATCCATATTGAATATTCTAGCTATGATTTGCTTTTGCCAGCCAAAGCAGCCTTGATTATTAACTAGGATGATATTGGGAGAGAAAATTTTCTTGTCAGCAGAGATTTCCCAACATCTTGTAGAAGGGTTCCCTGTGCAGGGCCAGGCACCTCCTACTTGGAACCACTCAGGAGTTTGAGGGCATACAGGGCCACAAACAGGGCTGCCACAGCCTCGAAGGGTTCATCCCTAGGGATAGCTGATCCCTTTTTCTGGAGCTGCACTCCACTCAGCTCTACCAGAGCAATGGTTAACATCTGGTCCTCCTCGTGTTGGAAAGAGAGCAGCCTGGCATTCACAGGGAAAGGCCTCATCTCATATTCCAAGTCATGTTTCAGTAGGTTTTCAACCTTTAAATAACAATAAAAAAGCAAAATCATTATTTTAATCAGTAATCAAGTTGTGACACTATGGAGATGTTGCTATAATTGCAATAGTCTGAGCTCCTTTGAAAGGGGCCAAATGTGATGTGTCTTCTCACCAGTTTCAGCTGTTGGGAAACAATCTTCCTTTCCAAGGATTCCAGCAGCAGCAGCAGCTGATCCTCCATTAACTCTGCAGAAATAAACTGGGTTTGTATCTGAAATATTGCACCAAGCTTAGTGGTGGGCTGGACTGGTGAGCAGGATGGGAAAGAGTGAAGAGGATGGGAAGGGTGATCATTTCTTGTAGGAAATGCTCCTTTGGTCAAAGTTCTTTGGATGTTTTAATAGAAATGGTTTGTGCAGGCTCACAGTGAGAGTGATGTGGCTGTTACCCACAATATCCCATATGGAACGTGGAGTTGGAAGGCACCCAGAAGGATAACTGATGTGCAACTCCTGTCCCTGCACAGACACCCCAACAATCCCACCCTGTGCTGAGGGTGTTGTCCAAGCGCTGCTGGAGCTGTGTCAGCCTTGGGGCTGTGACCATTGCCTGGGGAGTCTGTTCAGTGCCTGAGCCCCTCAGGGATAAGAACCTGTCCCTGGTATCCAAGCCAGCTGTCCCAGACACAGCTCCAGCCATTGGCCTGGGTCGTGTTGCTGGTCAGCAGAGCAGAGATGTGGGCTGCCCTTGGGAGGAAGCTGTGGCCAGACTTTGAGGGAGCAGGGAGCCCTGGGTGGGTGCAGAGGGGGTTTCTCTCCTCTCCCCTCCGTGGATCTTGGATGTAGATTCCACTTGAGGAGGAGGAGGAGGAGTATGAGAGGAGGGAATGAGAGAATGGCAGGAGTGGGATTAATCCCTGCCTTGATTTCCCTCTTGAAGCCCCAAAGCCTCACCCTGCAAAGCATCAAGGACGTAGGTGATTCCTTCTGCCAGCTGAAGGAGACGATGTCTTGGGGATTGCTGCAAGGTGCTGAAGAGTTCTTTTAAATCTGGGCTCTCAGTTTTCAGCTCATAACCATCATTTTCCTCAAGAACTTCTTCCATCTGTGGGGAACAAGGTGAAGAAATGTCAGGATTTGAGGGCAGAGGCTGCTGCTTGTCCAGAGCAGGGAGCTGTGCTGAGAGAGGGAATTTTGGATGGGCAGTTGTGGCCCAGGGCAGGTGACTTGTGGGACAGGAGGAGTGGTGTGGATGTGTCTGTATTTATAAATTGTATCAGTAAAAGCTTCACTTACTTTCTGGCTGAGCTCTTGAAGGAGTTTCTCATCTCTCATCACAGCTTTGATGGTGTTTAAGATGGTGAGCAGCAGGTCAGGAGACAACTCGGGGAAAATTCGGCAGGACTTTTCAACTTCTGTCCTCACTTCTTCTAATTTTTCTGCTGAGAGATGTACAAACTAGAATGAGTCCAAATCTGTCACTTGAGTTCTAGGAGTGGACAGGCAGCTCTAAACCTGGGTTTGAAACACTTCTCTGAGTGTTTCTGAAGCAATATGAAATTTGGGCAGTTATGGTATCTCAGGGAAGATGCAAATGCATCTCTCCTGGTGCTTTGTTTTATGCTGGGAGATTCCATCTTACCCAAAGCAGCCAAATGTTGTGCATGTGAAAGCAGTAAAATACATTCCTTACCATCATCTACATAACCTTGCCTGTCCTCAACTACATGATCTTGATCTTCGTCTTGGAAATAATCCAGATCTGTAGCAGGATAAAAAGGACATTTATGGTTTTCTAGACCAGCCTTCCCAGTGTGGTTCACCCACCCTGTTTTCTCCCTGGCTCTTTTCTTCCAAGCAGAAAATTTCAGACCCAAACTCTCTTCTCTGTGCCATTTATCACCAGGAGCTTTGCAGCTCCTCAAAAGTAGATCAGACACTTCCTTCTTTCCATTTTTTACTGACCCCTGCCCAAACAAGATCTTTCTTGTGTGGCTCTTTGACCTTGCATGGGCTGTCTGGCTGCCCTCAGGTGATTTCTGTCCATCACACTGCCTCCCTCTCCTTGCAAACAAATCTAGGATGTATCTGGGGCCAGGTGACTCTTCATAAAATGTTCTTCCTCCTGTGTACCTTTTCTAGAAGGGAGAAACTGGTCATTTCTGGAAGTCGCTTACCCCATTTTCCATCTCTAATGCGTAGTGGGATGGTCCTGAAGGCCAGTGTGCAGCCCTTCGGTATCACTATACCTTGGTTGTTCTCTCTGGTGCCCTGGTGAAGGAAAACAACCAGTTAGAACAGCTAGGTGCAGGTGTTGGGGAAGCAAGGAGGGAGAAGCCTGTGGAGAGTTTAGTTCAAGAATGGCTTAAAGAAAAAGGCCATGAAGACATACAATTGAGAGAAAAGTAAAAGGTAAAAGTAAAGCAGTTCCTAAAGCAGTTCCCAGCCTGATTTCTATAAACAATTAGACTCTCTTTATAAAAAATAAAGTTCTCAGACAGTCTTCCCATAACAAGCAGAACACCTTCTCTGGGAAAAGCTGGCACCCTGGGAACCGATATGGAAGTTTTGGGAACCTTTCATATCACAGTGGGAACGTTGGTTCTATGTTTGATAAACAATTGTAGGTTTTGTAAAACAAAAGGAGTGGTTAGAGTTTTCTCTGTTAGCCTATCGTGAGCTCGGATTTTGCAATATGCATGAGGTTAATTAACACTGTTATATAAAGTGATTGATTGATCAATAAATCGGAGTTCGATGCATCAATCGGATGGTCCTTCTCCCTTCACTTCAATAGAAGCCAAACCTTTGCAGAAAGTGTAGCATAAATTTTGGCCTTGAAGCCCCCATCTGCCTTGGTGGATTCCTCGTACACGGCCTCCTCTGAGGCCTCGAGGGTTTCAGTGACCACGTACAGCCTGATGTCTGTTCTCTGGAGCTGTCGGATGAAGGAGTGATCCATGTTGATTTTCCTAAAAGAGGAAAAGGATGGGAAGGGTTTGGAGCACCAGGAGCAGCTGACACAACTGGGGGGATGTGTTGGTTTTCCATAGCCTGGATTTTGGTTTTTGGCTATTGAAAAACCCTTCTTAACGTGGCATAGGCTGGAGGGAGATGACTGGATTGTGTGTGCTCCTTTTGTCATTCCTTACCTGTCTCTTCTCAGTGCCTCCAGGGATTGCTGTGATATGCCGTTCTTCTTTGACTTGACAGAAAACCCTTTGGACAAGGAGGCACCTCCTTTCAGCTCTACACTTGCAGGATCAAATGAAATGCTGAGACCTCCATCAACTTCATCAGCTCTGACTTTTGTGAGAGTGAATTGGTTGGAATCTTGATGGAGGGACTCTGAAACAATTCCAGGCATTATCTTAAGCAGGATTACAGACTCAGCACTGTCAGTATATCACACACAGAAGAAAGCTGGAACTTACTAGAGTTCAGCCACAAACAGTTCCAAAATGATATTATCTCTGGTGTTTGATAAATTCATATTGATAAATTTGGGTTTTACCTGTTCTTGTACCATCCTCTCCAGACAGCAGCACATCATCCAGTGTGAAGCCTGTTCTCTGGTAGTAGGGAGCTCGGTGGAATATGCGGTTTGATTTTTTTTTTTTTTTCAGTAGACAGAGAGGCCTGAAGTGCTCATGGTCTGCAATGCTTTCAACAGGAACCAATTCTTTGCGTGGATCCATTTGATTTACAATGAATTTGGTGAGTTTTTTAAACATTCTGCTGTGGATGAAATTCTGAAGGAAAGCCAAGTGGATTTGTGCCTTGGGAAAGAGGGAACACAAGTTAAGCCAAATGACTTTAAATAATAGCACAGAATCACAGAATCAACTAGGTGGGAAAAGATCTTTGAGATCATCTAGTCCAACCCATGACCTAACATTTCCTCATCAACTAAATCATGGTGCTGAGTGCCATGTCCAGTCTTTTTTAAAATACGTGCAGGGATGATTACTCCACCACTTCTCTGGGCAGATGATTCCAGTGGCGTATCACTCTTTCAGTGAAAAATTTTTTCGTGATGTCTAAGGAAAACTTCCCCTGGTGCAGCTTAAGCAGGATGTTGTAACAAAGTGTTTCTTTAATTAGTAAAAAGTTTTCAAAATAATGACTGGTATTACCCAAGGCACGAGTTTCACAGGGTTGTTACAGGGAGCTTTTGGAGAGGAAGCAGCAGGAGCTGTGGGTTGTTTGACCTTGTCCCCCTTTGCTGTTGAGCCTCAGTGACTGTGCAGAGAGAGCAGAGCAGGCACACTCTGAGGATGCTGATATTAGGGGCAAATGTCCCTGAAAATAAAGAGAAATCAGCACAGCCTTATTGGGCAGGCCCTGGTGGTCTACAGGGGAGAGCTGGTGTTTGAGGGCCAGAAAGAAATCCCAGTTTCCTTTCTGACACAGCTTCTTTATATGAAAAAGTTTCAGTTTCACTTTTCTGATGTTTTACGGGAAAGAGCTGGAGAGGAGAAATTGAACAATCCAGAACGGTTTGGATGGGAAGGGACCTTAAAGCTCATCCCATTCCTCTCCCTAAGATGGTCAGGGACACCTTCCACTATCCCAGGTTGCTCCAAGCCCTGGCCCTGGACACTTCCAGGGATGTGGGCAGTGTGCCGGTGTGGCTGTGTGTCGGTGCCTGGCCACACAGGAATTCCTTCCCAATATCCCATCTAACCCTGCTCTCTTTGAGTTTAAACAATTCCAAAGACAAATAGCTGCCAGTGCTCCATGTTATTAGCCCTTCTGAGCTCTTTCCCTTGAAGGTCTCCAAGAAGAGAAGAAAAACTAAACAAGAGCACTTAACAGAGAGCTCCCACCAACCATCTCCCCTACCCAAGCTCTGGGATGATGCACTTACCTGTTTGTGGGGTGGGGGGTGTGCAGAGCAGACCCTGGGGTGCTGAGGTGATGTGGCCTCTGGAGAGCAGCAGGACTGGGGAGAAGTTCTCTGGCTCTCTGCCAAAGGTGTGGAAGTGTTTGCTAAGTACGGGAGCCGTGAGTTGCACAGGAAGCTGGCACCCCACAAACACAGAGCAAAGAGAAAATTGAGTTTTCTTGCTGAAGTAGGTTCCTGGAAGCAACACCTGGGCAGGAGCAGTGTTAGATCTGATCCATGCTGGTGGTTCCCTGGCTGTTCACACCTGAGTTATTATTCCCCACGGTTATTCTCAGTTGGAGCAATTCACTATCCTCCTCCCCAGTGTTCCATTTCTTCAGAATGGCCATTGCTTGTGTGAGTCTTCCTTGAGCAGATTCTGTGATAGGGGCTGTGGATAACTCGAAATTCTACAGATGTAGGAGATGTAAGCCCATGCCTGGAGCTGTCCAACATCAGACTGGACAGGAATGTGTCCCTGCCCCTGGCAGCAGGGGGGACTGGGTGACTTTAAAGTCCCTTCAGACAAAACCATTCTGTCCTTCCATGCTTCAACTTTATCGAGCCAGATAATGTTGCCTCTCTTTTACAGATAGAGAAATGGACTCAGGAGGAGATATTGGCAAGAAATTCCTCTCTGTGAGGGTGATGTGGCCCCAGAACAGGTTTCCCAGAGAAGCTGAGGCTGCCCCATCCCTGGGAGTGTCCCAGGCCAGGTTGGATGTGGCTTGGAGCAGCCTGGGCTGCTGGAAGATGTCCCTGCCCATGGCAGGGGGTGGGAATGGCCCTGGAGCATTAAGTTGCCTTCAAACCGGAGCCATTCCATGTCTGCTGGGTACATTGCTGTGCTTATTTGACAGCAAAAGCCATCCATGTGATGATTCCAGGACTCAAGCACAAGTTTTTACCTGAATACTTCACTTTTATTAGTCTCTCTTAGAATACTGTACAAAGGAGTAATAAAAGTATTCACACTTTATTTTAGAAAGTTCTCTACATGAGACTGCTGTGTCCACATCAAGGGCCCTTATTTCTGGTACAGCCTCAATCCTGAGGTTGTTAGGTGTGCCATGGGACAGAAAAGACACAAAATTAAGAAACAGCCTTTGAGACCACCAAATTGCTTAGCAAGTGGCTGCTCTTTATTGATAAAGTGATAATGAGAGTATTGTAGTATTGCTCTGAAGTGCTACTCATGTCCCTCAAGCATCTCAGGGAGATGGGACCGGAGAGGTGTCAGTGAAACCTCTGGGATTTCCCCATCTTCCTGACACCAGCAGTTCATGGATCCCATGCTGAAACACAGAGGAACCAGAGTAAGTGAACCACTGATGATGTTCCTTTTGGCTTTTGTTTCCTTTTCATTTCCTCCCTTTTCCTTTGCATTTTCCTTTCCATTCCCTTTACTGTTCCCTTTCCCATTTACTGATTGCAGCAGCAGCAGCAGCAGCATTTTGAGGGAAGCAGGATTACATGAATCATTGCTGCCAGGCCTGTGATTCTTTGGGCTTTTGGATTTTCCTGTTGTCTTTCTGCATTCATGGGGAGACAGACAGACAAATCCACTTTGATATCCAGCCTTTAGCATCCATATTGAGTTTTCTTGCCTTAAATTTGTTTTTGCCACACAAAGCCTTTCCACATCTCGAAGAAGGGATCCCTGGGCAGGGCCACATGTATCTGCAAGCCACTCAGGAGGTTGAGGGCGTACAGGGCCACTAACAGGGCTGCCATGGCCTCAAAGGGTTTATCCCTAGGGATAACTGATCCATCTTTCTGGAACTGCACTCCACTCAGCTCCACCAGGGCAATGGTTAACATCTGGTCCTCCTCATGTGGCAAGAGCTGCCTGGCATCCACAAGAAAAGTCCCCTTCCTCTTCACCTTGTCATGTTCCAGGAGATTTGCAACCTTCACAGCAACAAGAAAAAAGAAAAATCAGAATTTCAATCAGTTGTCAGCTTGTGTCATCATTATGGAAATGTTACTAGAATTAAAATAGTCTGTGCCCCCTTGAAAGGAACCAAGTGTGATGTGTGTTCTCACCAGGTTCAGCTGTTGGGACACAATCTTCCTTTCCAAGGATTCCAGCAGTAGCAGCAGCTGATCCTCTGTTAACTCTGCAGAAATAAACTGAGTTTGGATCCAAAACCTCCCAGCAAGGTGATGGAGGTTGCTGGTGGGCTGGGACTGGTGAGCAGGATGGGAAAGAGTGAAGAGGATGGGAAGGGTGATCATTTCTTGTAGGAAATGTTTGTTTGGTCAAAGTTTTTTTGGATGGTTTAGTAGAAATGGTTTGTGCAGGCTCACAGTGAGAGTGATCTGGCTGTTACTCACAATGTGCAATATGGAATGTGGAGTTGGAAGACACCCAGAAGGAAAATTGATGTGCAACTCCTGTCCCTGCACAGACACCCCAACAACCCCACCCTGTGCTGAGGGTGTTGTCCAAGCCCTGCTGGAGCTGTGTCAGCCTTGGGGCTGTGACCATTGCCTGGGGAGTCTGTTCAGTGCCTGAGCCCCTCTGGGATAAGAACCTGTCCCTGGTATCCAAGCCAGCTGTCCCAGACACAGCTCCAGCCATTGGGCTGGGTCGTGTTGCTGGTCAGCAGAGCAGAGATGTGGGCTGGCCCTTGGGAGGAAGCTGTGGCCAGAATTGAGGGAGCAGGGAGCCCTGGGTGGGTGCAGAGGGGGTTTCTCTCCTCTCCCCTCCATGGGACTTGAATGTTGATTCCACTTGAGGAGGAGGAGGAGGAGTATGAGAGGAAGGCAGGAGGGAATGGCAGGAGTGGGAGTCATCCCTGCCTTGATTTTCCTCTTGAAGCCCCAAAGCCTCACCCTGCAAAGCATCAAGGACGTAGGTGATTCCTTCTGCCAGCTGAAGGAGATGATGTCTTGGGGATTGCTGCAAGGTGCTGAAGAGTTCTTTTAAATCTGGGCTCTCAGTTTTCAGCTCATAACCATCATTTTCCTCAAGAACTTTGTCCATCTGTGGGGAACAAGGAGAAGAAATGTCAGGATTTGAGGGCAAAGGCTGCTGCCTGTCCTGATCAGGGATCTGTGCTGAGAGAGGGAATTTTGGATGGGCAGTTGTGGCCCAGGGCAGGTGACTTGTGGGACAGGAGGAGTGGTGTGGATGTGTCTGTGTTTATAAATTGTGTCAGTAAAAGCTTCACTTACTTTCTGGCTGAGCTCTTGAAGGAGGTTCTCATCTCTCATCACAGCTTTGATGGTGTTTAAGATAATGAGCAGCAGGTCAGGAGACAACTCAGAGAATATTTGACAGTGGATTTCAACTTCTTCCAGTCCGCTTTTTAATACTCTGCAGGTTTCAATTTCTTCCAGTCTGAATTGTAATGCTCTGCAGGCTTCAACTTCTTCTTCTTCTTCGAATCCATGTCTGAATTCGAATTCCATTTGGGCTGAACATTCTTCATATATGTCTTCTAAGCTTCCTGTCTCGGATGTGTTTTCAGTGTCTGCTAAAGGAGGAATCCAAATCTGTCACTTCTGAACAAGGAGCTCACTGGCAGCTCTAAATCCAGAGTATGAAACCCTTCTCTGAGTGTTTTTGAAGCATTATGGAATTGGGGCAGTTGTGATGTCTCAGGGAAGAGGCAAATGCATCTCTCCTGGTGGTTTGTTTAACACTGGGAAATTCCATTTTACGCAAAGCAGACAAAAGTTGTGCAAGTGAAAGCTGTGAAAATATATTACTTACCACTGCAGAGCCTGAGGACGTATTCTTCAATTGCAAAATGCTCCATATCTGCAGAAGCATAAAAAGGACATTTATGGTGTTCTAAACCAGTCTTCCCACTGTTGGTTACCCACCCAGTTTTGACCTTGGCTCTTTTCTTCTCAGGAAAAGAAGGGACACCCAAACTCTGTTCTCCATGCCATTTATCAACAGGAGCTCTGCAGCTCCTGAAATATAGATCTGAGACTTCCTTCTTTCTTTACTAATCCCTCCCCAAACAGCATTTTTCCTGTGTACTTCTTTGACCTAGCATGGGCTCTCTGACCTCCCCCAGCTGATTTCAGTCCCTCACACTGCCTCCATGTCGTTGCATACAATATGAGGCTGTATCTGGGGCGCAGTGATACTTCCTAAGATCTTCTTCTTCTGCACTATTTCCAGAAGGGAGAAGTCTGTCATTTCTGGAAGTTGCTTACTCCATTTTCCATCTCTAATGTATAGCGGGACGGTCCTGAAGGCCAGAGTGCAGCCCTTGGGTATGACTATGCTTTGTTTGTTCTCTCTGGTGCCCTGGTGAAGGAAAACAACCAGTTAGAACAGCTGGGTGCAGCTGTTGGGGAACAAAGGAGAGGAAAAGCCAAACCTGTGCACCAAGTGTGATGTGACATAGGACATTAAAGACCCCGTCTGCCATGATGGATGCTGTGTAGATAGTCTCCTCTGAGGCTTCGAGGATTTCCGTGACCATGTATAGATTGATGTTTGTTCTCTGGAGTTGTTGGATGAGGGAATGATTCATGTTGATTTGTCTAAAAGAGGAAAAGCATGGGAAGGGTTTGGAGCACCAGGAGTGGCAGATGCAGCTGGGGGTGCTCAGGCTGTAGAAGAGGAGGTTCAGGGGTGAACTTGTAACTCCAGTTGAGGCATTCACATTCTCTGAACAGAGAGACATAATTCTCTATCTCAGGGTTTTTCTTGAAGAAGCACAGAGAGAACAAGAGAAAGTAGTTTTTTCTCATTCACTGCCTGTGTTTGTGCCCATGTGGAATGTGGTATGGAGATTGTTTACCCAAGGTGATTGCTTGATTGCATTCTGGTTGATGGTTGTTTGGATTCATGGTCCAGTTGGATCCACAGCTGTGTCGGGACTCTGGGCAGAGAGTCATGGGTTTTTCTAGTTAGTTAGTTAGTTAGTTAGTTAGTATTATATAGTAAGTAAGTATGTAGTATAGTATCTCTTTAAAATAGTATATAATATAGTATAGGTTTAATAAAGCAATTGTTCAGCACTTCTGAATCAATGGAGTCAGATGCCAATCATTTTCCCTGCATTAGGATACCATGCACCGATATCCAGTCTTTGGCCTAGTTAGGGGAAATAATTGCCCAAAATTCTTAATCTTTGCTTTTGGCTGTTGAAACCCCATTATTGAGCTGGTGTGTGCTGGAGGGGGATGATTGGAGTGTGTGTGCTCCCTTTGTCATGCCTTACCTTTTTTTTCTCAGTGCCTCCAGTGATTGCAGTGGGATGCTCTTCTTTTGTAGCTTAATGGAAAAGACATTCAACGAGGAGGCACCTATTTCCACTTCTGCATTTACAGGGCCCAAAGGAGCACTGGCACACCCCTCAACCTGGTCAGCACTGGTTTTTGTGATAGTAAATTGGTTGGAGTCTTGATGGAGGGACTCTGAAATAATTCCATGCATTATCTTAAGCAGGATTACACAGACTCAACACTATAATTATATCACACACACACATGAAAGCTGGAACATGGTAGAGTTCAGCCACAAATGACCCAAACACATTATCTATAGAATTGGTGGTCTTTAGATTGAAAAATGTGAGTTTTACCTATGCTTTTACTATCTTCTCCAGGCAGCAGCACATCATCCAGTGTGAAGCCTGTCCACTGATAGTAGGGAGCTGAGTGGAATATGCGTTTTGATTTTCTCTTTTTTATCAGTAGACAGAGAGGCCTGAAGTGCTCATGGTCTGCAATGCTCTCGACAGGATCCAATTCTTTGCTCGGATCCATTTGATTTGCGATGAATTTGGTGAGTTTTTTAAACATTCTATGGCTGAGGTTTTGAAGGAAAACCAAGTAGATTTATGCCTTGGGAAAGAGGGAACACAAGCTAAGTTGAATTACTTGAAATATTAGTAGAATGTTGTAACAAAGCCTGACTTTAACTATTAAGAAGATTTCAAAGTAATGACTCACATTATCCAAGGATACAATTTTCACAGGATTGTTTCAGGGCATATTTGGAGAAAAAGCAGCAGGAGCCAGGGGTTGTTTGGACTTGTTCTGCTCTGTTAGGGAATCCCAGTCATTTTGCAGAGAGATTGCAGTTGGCAGACTCTGAGGGTGCTGATTTTGGAGACAAATGTCCCCCAAAATAGAGAGAAATCAGCTCAGCCCAGCCCAGCCTTGTTGGGCAGGCACTGGTGGTCTGCAGGGGAGAGCTGGTGTTTGAGAGCCAGAAGGAAATCCCTGTATGTTTTTTGACACAGCTTTTTTTTTTATCAAAATGTTTCAGTTTCACCTTTCTGGTGTTTTCCAGGATGGAGCTGGGGAGGGGGAATTGGGTAAACCAGACTGGTTTTGGTCAGAAGGGACATTAATGCTCATCCCATTCCTCTCTCTAACATGGGCAGGGACACCTTCCACTCTCCCAGGTTGGTCCAAGCCTCAGCCAACCTGGCTTTGGACATTTCCACGAATGGGGCAGCCATGGCTTCTCTGGGCAACTTGTGCCATGGCCTGATCAGCCTCACAGGGAGGAATTTCTTCCCAATATCCGATCTAATGCTACCCTGTTTCAATTTAAACCATTCCAAAGACAAATAGCCTTGTGCGCTCAATGTTAGTACCATTTCCACAACACATTGTTTTGGAAGTCTCCAAGAAAAGAGGAAAACTAAACAAGAGCACTTGACAGAGAGCTCCCACCAACCCTCTCCCCTACCAAAGCTCTGGGATAATGTACTTACCTGTTTGTGGGGTGGATGCCTCCTGTGGCTGGAGGGTGTCTGAAGCAGACTGCAGGACTGCTGTGGCTTCTGGTGATACTGAAATCACCCAGAATAAACTTTCTAACACAGTTTGAAGTGTTAGAAAGCAGGCATTCTTCATCTGCAGAGAACACACAGCAGATCTCTCCTTATCCTGTGTGTGTGCTGAGACTGTACAGCCAGGTGTTTATGTACCATGCTTATACATATTCATTACAATGAGCTGCTGATCTAACACAGAAACGTCACTTTCCTAGGAACAAATTTGCCTGCACCCACCTCTTGCTGAAAGCCCTTTTATGGTCCTGGACGTTCAAAAAAAGGGTTCTCTGGTACTCATATTCACTGAATGCTTTGATATTAAAGGTGACTTTTCCTTGAGCTTTCTCTTACCTGACAAAACAGGGGGCTCCCCGAAGCAACTCCTGGGTAAGGCAGCATTAGACCTGATCCATGCTGGAGGACCCCTGGCTGTTCACAGCAGCTTATCCAGAGTCTGTTACAGGGACTGTGGGTTACTGGAACTTCTACAGATGTAGGAGATGGTGTGTCTCAGACCAGACTGGACAGGAAGGTGTCCCTGCCCCTGGCAGCAGGTGGGACTGGATGCCTTTAAGGTCCCTTCAAGCCAAACCATTCCATCATTGTGGATTCAGCTTTATAGAGCCACGTAACGCTGCTGTTTAACAGATGAAGAAATGAACTCAGGAGGGGATATTGGCAAGAAATTCCTCTCTGTGAGGGTGATGTGGCCCCAGAACAGGTTTCCCAGAGAAGCTGAGGCTGCCCCATCCCTGGGAGTGTCCCAGGCCAGGTTGGATGTGGCTTGGAGCAGCCTGGGCTGCTGGAAGGTGTCCCTGCCCATGGCAGGGGGTGGGAATGGCCCTGGAGCCTTAAGGTGCCTTCAAACCCGAGCCATTCCATGTCTGCTGGGTACATTGCTGTGCTTGTTTGACAGCAAAAGCCATCCATTCCATTCCAGGACTCAAGCACAAGTTTTTACCTGAATACTTCACTTTTATTAGTCTCTCTTAGAATACTGTACAAAGGAGTAATAAAAATATTCACACTTTATTTTAGAAAGTTCTCTACATGAGACTCCTGTATCCACAGCAAAAAGAAGGCTATGGGAAAAAAAACCCTAAAACTTTGTACAGAACATTCCTTTAAAAACCCTCCCAACTAATTCAGCTGATTTAACTGATCCAGGGAGGGTATGGACACACCAACACTCACATGCTTAAAAAGATATTCTAGGCAATGATAAAGCAACATAAGTCACAAGAAGGAATATTAATGTGTTAACCCACTGCTGTCCCCTCCTTGAGGGCCAGTACCGAGCTTCTAAAAACAACCCAAAATTGAACAGTGATTCAAACATAAAAGAGAATAAGTAGCCCTCCATTTAGTTTAATTTATAGGCTTTTTCCTGCAAAGGTTTGGACTGTTTGCCAGCCTGGTAGCTCTGTGGAAGGACTCCCAGGTGAGGATCCCTGATTCAGGAGCAGCAGGCTGGGAGGACTTGCTGGTTTTCTGAGGGTCCTGGAGCAGGGGCTGCTGTGCCCCATGGAAACGTGCGTGGTGCTGACAGTGGCTCAGGGGGCTTGGCCAAGTACAGGATGGGACAGGCTGCTGCCAGTTCCTGAGAAGGATTCCAGCCATTCACAAGTTTTTCTCTTTAATTGCAGATCAGAACAGAAAAGCTTAAAATAACTTACCAGGAGTTGTTTTTCCATCACAGGAGATTTGATCTCTCCAGGTAGGAACTTGTCCTGATTATGATACAGGACCAACGTGAGAGGGAATCTGTCAAGTGTGATGTGATCAGAATCCCATTTAAAATTAGTAACAACCAGTCATCTCCTCCCTGCAGCACCACATCTGTTCTTGTTTCATTTCTCCACCCACAATGTGGCTTCACACCTGATCTGTCCCCTTCCAGGACCACCCTTCAGCCTGCTCATAGTGTCCTTTCACTTCAGACTGCCTCAGGTACACCCAAGAATGGTGGTTTAATTACAATTGACTTCCTGCTTTTTATTTTTGATTGATCCTGACACCAGCCTTAAGTTGGGATCTTAAGGAAGATGCTACCCAATCTGTAATTGTTCAAATACTTATTAACCATATATAGGTAATTAACTCACCACAACAGAACATGAAATCTTTCTCCAACTTGTTTCTTTCATATTACTCATGTTTCCATTTATGTTTCCTTTGACTGGATTGGCTGAATCCAAATTAATGAAAGTTATTCCATGGAAAAGTGCCACACCTGTGTTGTGAAGAGTGGCATGTCATGACTCTGCCATTGGCTGTTTTGATCATTTGTGTGAAGGAGAGAAATCAAAAAATATTTACTTTTGTTGCTAGGCAGAGTCTTAATTACAAATTTGGGGGTTTACACTTTAGAACCTGCTTGTTTGAGAAGTTTATAATTCCATTCTGAGTCCCAGCTGATATTTAATTTAAGGAAACAGGGTCAGATGGTGTCAGTGACCACACAAGTGTTCAAACCCACAGCTGTGTTATTGCTGTATCTCATAAAAAAAAAAAAGCTGATCCTTTCAATTGATAATTATTCTAAAATTACAAATCTGTGATGTGCATATGCTTAGAAATACCCAGCATATGTCTGTCTGTGAGGAGTCATGTTTGAAAGCATCTAGAGGCTGTTTCTGTTGCAAAATGATGGTTTTCCCCATGTTTTCTATGACAATAATTAGTTTTCTTTCATTTCCCCTGGAGATGGAAGTGGTGTCTGGGCAGACACTCAGGTCTGTTCAGCACCACAATCAACATTTCAAGTTCAGCCTCAGGCACCCTGCCAGGACCTGCCCCTCCTGCAGGAATACTGCTCATGTCTGTGTCATTTCCCAGCTGATTGATGAAATATCTCTATTTTTATCACAATTATCATTGTCTAGTAGCTTAAAGAGCCGATTAGGGTAGAGAGTACCTCAGCTAAAGCAGCAGCTCTTCTATCCTAGGTTGGAAGGTTTAAACTGCCCATCAAGGAAACTGCACATCTGTCAATACCCTGGGGTCTCCAGCCAGATTCTCTTCTCCTTCTACCTGCTTGAAAACTTCCTTTCCACTTGGATTTCCACTTTCCAAACACATGAGGGAATGATTCTCCCTGCATTCCAGCAGCCCTTTGAGGTACACTCCATATTTTCCCTTCCCTGTAGCAATCCCAAAGGAAGTCTGAGAGAGAAGTGAAGCAACTTGTCTAAAATTATGCATGGAGTAGTAACACATCTAAAAATTCTCCCTTCCCTGTCCTATGTTTTCAGACCATCCAAAACCTCAACATTCTCCCTCATGGCCTCTAAAGCTGGATTTGCTACTGCAAGGACAAAAAAAAGAAGATTAAAAAGATTTATACCATTGTCAAAAAAGGTGAGACAATATAAGCACTAAGACAACAGAAATATAGGTTTTCATGGGGTTACAGGGGAAGAGTGAGGGAAAACCCATTCCATCTGGGACACAACCCAAAGGGAAATCAGGTCATTCTGATTTTCAGTAAAACAGTAAAAGCTGTCTCAGCCAGGAAACCTAAGCCTGCTTTATTTAGGTGGTAATTTTAGAGGAAAAAAGGCTTGATTTTGTTCCTCTGTGACACGGTCTACTATCAGTGACAAATCAACTCCTTTGCTGGTCAGTTCATCTGCTGCTGGTGCTGCTGCTCACACAGCCCTTGGACATGGAGCTGAGGGACAGATTTCCAGGTAAGCCAGAAATCCAGCCCTGGAGTCCATGGAGAACTGGCAAATCCCAGTCACATTCACTTAAGCAACCAAAGAGCTGAAGTGAGGAGAAAAATTCCAAGTCAAGGATGGCTGCCTGCTTGATTAGAACAATCAGCCTTCCTCCTGTAGCTGCCCACTGGCTGCCTCTCCCACACCTGTCCCTGTCCATGTTCCAAGGAGCTCCATGGCATTTGGTGTCAGTCTTTAAATCACCTGCCCTCAGCCCTTGATCAAATGCCCACTGAGCTCCTGTGCACATAAAAACAGCAATTTGGGGTGGGGAGAGGAGTTATCTGGGCAG